CCCCAAAACCCCAAAACCCCAAAACCCCAAAACCCCTTTTACTCTGACTTATGTTGAAAATTATAGAGAGAATCCAACTTTATTACTTTTGTCAATGCTGGTTTTTTCTTCAAATAGCTCATGGGTTTACCGCTGATGCTTAGGAATTCCTCGGCGTTATCTTTTTTCTCGATTATATACTCCTCATTATGCTTGACACCGTAATCGTAGTCTTCTCCTCTATCACATTTGAACAGTTTGAGTTTGCGAAAATGAGGTTTTGATGGATTATAGCCTACTTTAGTGCAGATATATCTAGAAGTGGCAGGAAATGTCTGCTGGTCAGTGATGCTTTCGAACAGCTCTTTTCGTGTCTCATTCTCAACTATTTTCTCATTGCTATAAGGGTAATCCGGATGATCGTTTAGAGGATGATCTGCTTTTAATAACGACTTTTCTGATTCCACTCGAGTTGGGAAAGATTTACTCTGGGATCATTGAAACTTCCCAATGTTTATCACCCATCCTTTATTATGTAAGAATTCGAATATCTTTTGCACACTCTCTTCATCATCTTCTTTGAGGTCTTTTAAATCCTCATCGTTCTGTACCTTCTTAGAAATTTCTTTGGAATTAGCCCAGCTGTTAATAAAAATTCTATTCTTCAGGATATATTCCTTCTGTGGTTGATCAAGCTGCTTGAAAAACTGGTCTTTTTGAAGGTCATATTGGGCATCTTGGTCTATCTTGTTCAAGCTTTTGTCAGCTTCATACTTTACTTTGGATGAGGTGCTGAGTTTATTATGCTCATTAAGAACGTTGTAGTACTCTCCTTGCCCTTCTATAGTTTCCATTGAGGGTTTTTGGCTATTTGCTCTTTCAAGTTGATATCCTGCAAGCTAGCTTGATAATTTAGGCATGAATCGCCATCAAAATTGTCTTTGTTTAATTCTTTCTTGGGGATCCCAGATTCTATAAGAAGTCCAACTTTCTCAATTTCACTTAGAGCTGACAAGGGAGGAAGACCTGTCAGCTCTTCCTTTAAAGGCGACTTTATTGAAGCACCCTTACATTCTTTGATCTCCTTTTTAACCGGCTTCTGCTGATCCATGAGTATCTCCTGGGTTTCATCATAAAACAGTTGTATGTCTTCATTGCCTTCAATCATATCCTTGACCCAGGGGCCCAAGTTTGAATAAGCTGAGTCTAGGTCTTCACTCAAAGGTTTGAAGATCGCTGACTTAAATTTGGCTTTCTCTATAAAATTAAACTCACTTTCCATTTTTTATAAAACTGAGGGGTTTTGGGGTTTTGGGGTTTTGGGGTTTTGGGGTTTTGGGG